TTATGACTGAATATAATTTAATATTCTATAATATTACTCAATAATTTCAATAATAATCCATTATCCATGCTTGCCCAGAGGCCAAGCGATCGCAGTTAATTTCACAGTACGCGAGCATCTCGGGTTCGAACACCACCCTGCCGGGTTCAATAAAATTATTAATTGTATTTTGCAAAGTAGTTGACAGTAAAGTAAAACATCGTGACAGAATGTGTATTCCTAAGAAATTTAAGAAAATATTTCAAAGTCATGTGTTGTAGTCCATCAACACGCAGGTCTCTGTGCCCAGCAATGGGTCGTATAAAGGCTATAACTTTATTTTTATTTTTTGTAGAAGTCGTGTTAGAATAGACTTCTCTCATTAAATTTGCTGCTTAATAAGGCAAGTGCTTAATAAAGGCACCATTACTTATGTCATGGTTCGTAAGTACGTGGAACATCATACTCGTACTAATGCGTTTGTGTTCCTGACAACAGAACTAAAATTAATTAATAGAATCATGTGTTACTATGCGTAAATCCATTATATTAATCACTCCCTCATGAGGAATGGCGGGAGGTAGTCTTGCCTAGTTAGGCAAGACACATCATTTTTAATTTTATTACTCGGAAATAAGCAAATTAATTTCTTACAACTTTAAGAACTAAATTTTTTTGTAAACAAAATCTTTATTTTAAATTAAAGACAAACCAACATTTCCTTACTTAATTTCACTTAATTCTTTATTAAATATATTATTATTATATAATTCCCCGTATGAGAAAATCTAAGGAGGTTTTTGTTTGGCAATGGACTGTGGTAAATTAAATAAATGAAGAAACGCCACAATAAATTATGGTACGGTGCATAATATCGCCGCAGATAAAGCTGACTTAGTTAAACAAATAAAGTGAATAGCGCATCGACTTTCTCGTTCTACGTAATAATGCTAGAACGCAGATAACTACAACAAATATTTCTAATGTTTCGTCTATGGAGTGTGTATCTTGGGAAATCAAACTACGTGGTACCGTTTCCAAAGTTAAACTAATTGTTACTGAAATAGCAATATAATAGGTTTATATTTTCTCTTTACATAAATTTCGTTACTTTTTTTCTAATAAATAATAATCTAGTCTATTTATTATTTATGATTTGTATGGTTCTTTTACTTATTATCTAGTATTATAATCCTTTTCTTTCTTATTCTTATCTTCACGCACAATCCCTGATGGGGTAGCCAGAGAGAACAGATCGCCAAGTGTCACGATCCTTACATATCTCTTTCGCTTCTTTCAGATTCATTATCTTCTTCATACATGCACGTCTAGGTATCCGAGTACTCTTGACCCTACCCTCTTCGAGCAATTTGCTCACATGGTCTTTGAAAGTTAGTCTCGGTCTACCTCGACACCTTTTAATATTAACTTTCGCGCTATATATTTTCTTCACCATTCGGTCTTCACTCATTCGCTCAACGTGCCCAAACCACCGAAGCACGCCCTTATCAATTTTTGTGATAAGGTCATCTTTCAAACCTGCCATATTGCGAATCTCTTCGTTTCGCTTTCGGTCGGCCATGGTAACGCCGCACATTTTACGAAGAGATCGCATCTCCACTGCATTCAACTTACTTTTATGCTTCTTCTGGCATACCCAGGTTTCGCTGCCATATAACAAAGTCGGTACCAACACTGCGTTATGTATTGCAAGGCGTGCACTCTTCGCTACGCCTTGCCTTTTGACTAACGCAGTCAGGGCACCATTGACTTTGTTCCCGGCAGTGACACGCCTGTCCACATCTAAATCACATCTTCCATCCCGGCTAAAAGCACTCCCCAAGTATACAATTTCATTTACCTGTTCTAGACATTCCTGATTTACCCATATTTCACACTTCGTTCTCTCTTCGTCCCTTTCAAATACCAGAACCTTAGTTTTATTAGCATTCAAACGGAGACCTTTAATTTCACATTCCTCTTTCATACACGTGACTAATGCCTGCAGTTCTGCCTCTGATGGTGCAATAAGCACTGCATCATCAGCATACAGCAGACAATTTACTTTTATGTCACCCAATTTCACACCCAAACAGCTATCTTTCAGCTTTTGTAAACTGCTGTCGAGATACAGTATGAACAGCCAGGAAGACATGACACAACCCTGTTTTACGCCCGTTTGGACGCTAAACATGGGTGACAGGTCATGCCCTACCCGCACACAGGCTTTACAGTCACAGTAAAGAGACTGCACAGCCCTTAGCAATCGGCCATCCACACCATACCCCGGCAACAGTTCCCACATTTTCTTCCTTACAACCTTATCAAATGCTTTCTCAAGATCCACAAAAGCACAGAAAATCTTCTGGTTAACAGCCAGAAGCTTTTCCGTGATCATACGGAGAGAAAACATTTGATCCGTGCATCCTCTTCCAGGTCTAAATCCGCATTGTGCCTCCCATAGAAATCTTTCCGATTTCTCTTGCATCCTACGTGTCAAAACCTTCGAGTATTATAATAATAATAATAATAATAATATACTATACTACACATAATACTTCGCCATCCCGGTGAGTCACTTAGGCATGTCATCTCCGGTTGTTCGGCGCTTTCTAACTCTGAGTATTTGCACAGACACAATCTAGTAGCCAGGATTCTACACCAGGAGCTCGCTCTGAAATACGGTCTCGTGGATCGGAAACTGCCATATTATAAGTACTTGCCGGAAGCCGTGCTCGAAAATGACCGCGACAGGCTCTACTGGGACCGGGCCATCATCACAGACAGGACTATTCTTGCGAATAAGCCTGATATTGTGTTGATGGACCGGGCACAGTCAAGGATATTTTTGGTCGACATTACCATTCCTTATGACGAGAACCTCGTGAAAGCCGAAACAGATAAGCTGACAAAATATCTGGACCTGGCTCACGAGGTGACCGACATGTGGGGTGGTCTGCCGGCCGAAATTATTCCTGTGGTCGTTTCTGCGAACGGGTTAATCCCAGTTAGCCTCTCGGGTCATCTGAGGCGACTGGGACTCCGTGACGGACCGCTCCAAGCTCAAATGCAGAAGGCGGTGCTCCTCGATACCGCCCGCATCGTCCGCCGGTTTCTTTCACTTTCCCCCTAACCCTCGGCCGTTTGGTCTCCCCTGCCGAGGGCTTCCATCTGGTTGGGTTTTTATATATTTATGTATTTTTTATGTATTTATTCTATTTTATTGATATTTATGTATGTTTATATATTTCGTTTACAATTATATATTTAAACAGCCCAACCAGATGAGGAAACTTTATAGATAACCCCCATAATAATAATATAAATTTGTTGGGTTTTTATTTATTTATGTATTTTTTATGCATTTATTTTATTTTGTTGATATTTATGTATGTTTATCATTTTCATTTACAATTATATATTTATACAGCCCAACCAGATGAGTAAACTATATAGATGCCCCAAAAATATAAATAAAATGGCGTAGGGAAGTGACGACCCCATCGCCCGCTGACGTAACGGTTATGTGACAAAACTGCTACGTCAGCGCAGTCAGTCAGCACCTTGCCAAGAGGTGTTAGCGCCGTGCCTCGGCAAAATTGGAGGTGCAAAGGCCCGATTGTGCACATGGCCTCACTATGAAACGGTGCCGGGTATGGGCGTCTCCCGTTAACTGACGCCCAATTCATGGATGATGGAATTTAGGAATACGCGCAAAGGGCCGCTGCCTGGAGGTCGCCAGGGCGCGTCTGGAGCTGGCGCTGGACGCGGCAGCATGCGAACCGCCAGTCGACCGCGAGGTGCTGCACGAACACCCAGCAGCCCCTCGCATCCATCATCCCCACCAGCTGGCTTGGTGTTGGCAGGGTCTTCGTTGGCCCAGCAATCAGCACCTACCACTGGTGGAGTACGCCGCATGCGTTGGTCAATGCAAATGAACAAAAATGCATTGCGGGCGTATTTTGGGGCGAAAGGGAGAGAAATAGGAGGTTTTGGGTATCGGGCTAGGATGCACCGACAATTTGCTGAGCTGGAGCCATCTATTACCGTTACCGAGCAAAACCTGGCAGACCGAGTTCGGTACATCATGCGCTCAAAAATATTTGATGACGCCGAACTCGAACTGCTGCGACGTGAGGCTATTCCTTTGTCGAATGAAAATGCTACGACAGGAGATGCGGCTCTACGAGTTGCAGAGCAACCCGCACATGTAGATGCCGCCGTAGATCTCCTTGTAATTGACTCAGGCGACGATGGAATAGTCGCCCCAGAACAAGAGCAAATGAGGAGCATAGTGGAAGAGGCGATTAGGGAAACGCGCAGTACGCCTCTTGAGAATCGACCGGGACTTCCCCGTATACCTCTAAGCAAGCGGAATCCGGCTGTCGTGAGGGCTCTCAACCCAATGATGGTGACCTATTTGGAAGCCAGCCGGGACCTTTGCGAGACGGACTCAATTCTTTTTTGCGCTGCACTGGCAGTTTGCCGTATTATTGGCGCCAAACTTCCCAAGGCTGGACGCCCTACTAGACAAAGTAGCGCCATCCCAGCCTGGAGAAGAAGGATTGGGGACCGTATCGCAAAGGCAAGGGCCCTCATCGGCAGGCTGATAAGCTTCAGGTCGGGCAATAATAGGCCGAGAATTGTGCGCACCGTCAGGATGGCGTTTGCTGGGACAAACATCAGTTTGTCCCAGCCGGATATAACGCAAAAACTGACGGAGCGCATAGACGACCTGAAGCAGAGAATCGCTGCTTGGGGGAAGCGGATTCGGCGATATACCGAGAGGTTGACACGGTTCAACCAGAATCGTCTCTTTCAGAGTGATCAGAAGAGGCTCTATGAATCATTGGAGCGACCAATGGTACGTGGATAATGTATATAATAATAATGGTACGGGCCCAGCACCGAATCAGGCCGACACTATCGCATCCTGGCGCGGCCTGTGGTCAGAGCCCGTAAACCACAGTGAGGGCCCTTGGACGGAAGTTGTGGCGAGTCAGTGTGCGAATGTTACGCCCATGGACCCCGTCATCATTACGCCGGATGACGTAGCTGAGGCGGTCCGTAGGGCCCCGAACTGGAAAAGTCCGGGACTCGACGGACTGCATCACTACTGGCTGAAGGGGTTCGTGGTGTGTCACGATGTTCTCGCCCGACAGTTTCAAGAGGCTCTCGACCAAAAGTCGCTCCCGAGCCTCTTCACTACTGGGATCACTCATTTGGTTCTTAAAGACCGAGATTCCACAGACCCGAGCAAATACCGCCCCATAACGTGTCTACCTACCATATACAAGACACTAACATCCATTTTGAGCGCGAGAATCACTCGTCACCTGAACTCAAATCAGGTGATGTCGCGCGCTCAATATGGATGTCGGGGCGGTGGTCGTGGAACCAAGGAACCACTCCTCATTGACGCGGTCATTGGCAAGGTGGTTAAACGCAACCGTCGGAACCTCTCCGCCACCTGGATAGACTACAAAAAGGCATTCGACTCGGTGCCTCATACATGGCTGAAGAGGGTCCTCGAGCTGTACAAGGTTGACTGTACAGTTTGAGACTTCCTCGGGCAGTGTATGGGGCAGTGGAGTACGATCCTTTGTCATCTAGGCGAGCGGATGACGGCTGCGGAGAACCACATAAGGATAAGAAGGGGTATCTTCCAGGGCGATTGTCTGAGTCCAATCTGGTTCTGCCTCTCTCTGAACCCTCTTAGTACCATACTGGAGGGTTCCGGGAGGGGATTTCAGCTTTGGAGAGGAGGTACAAAAGTGACCCACCTTTTCTATATGGATGATCTCAAGTTATTCGCCTCCAGTCGCTCTCATCTTATGGAATTGCTAAACATCACTTGTGATTTTAGCAATTCTATTAGAATGGAGCTGGGGACGGATAAGTGTGCGGTCCTCCATGTCGAAAGGGGTAGGGTTGCTAACTCTGAGCGCATAGACTTATCTATGCCCATCAACATAAATACCCTATCCGAGGCTGAAACATATCGATACCTGGGTATGTCACAGAACATAGGTACCGATGAGGCGGACATGAAACAGTCAGTTTGCGGTGTGTTTTATGCACGCTTGACAAAAGTGCTTAACAGTCTTTTGTCGGGCGTTAGTAAGACACATACATATAACGGTTGGATCAAGCCTGTTCTCATATATACCTTTGGCATGCTCAGGTGGACTAAGACCGAACTGAACGCTCTGGACAGAAAAGTCCGCACTATAATGACGTCCCACAGGATGCATCATCCGAGATCGTCAGTAATGAGGCTGTTCTTGCCGCGGAAGCATGGTGGGCGCGGCTTTTTAAGCGCGCTTACCATGCATAATCGCGAAGTGTGTAGCCTCCGTAATTACTTTCTGACGAGAGCGGATGATCCATTCTATAGGGACGTTATTTCTTGTGATAAAGGGCTAACCCCTCTATCCTTAGCCAACGAGCAATGGCAAGACCCGGCAGTACAGAGCATTTCCGACCGGGAGACCGTATGGAAGGAGAAGGAGCTCCACGGGAGGTTCTACAAGGCTCTACATGAGCTTTGCATAGACACAGTCGCCTCCTACACTGGCTACGTTTCGGTGACCTCCTTGGGGAAACCCCCTCCGAGGGTTTTGTCTGTGCGATACAGGATCAGGTTATTAAGACCAACAATTATCGGAAATACATCCTAAAGGATGGCGCCGTCGACATCTGTCGAGCTTGTCGCCATCCCGGTGAGTCACTTAGGCATGTCATCTCCGGTGGTTCGGCGCTTTCTAACTCTGAGTATTTGCACAGACACAACCTAGTAGCCAGGATTCTACACCAGGAGCTCGCTCTGAAATACGGTCTCGTGGATTGGAAACTGCCATATTATAATTACTTGCCGGAAGCCGTGCTCGAAAATGACCGCGCCAGGCTCTACTGGGACCGGGCCATCATCACGAACAGGACTATTCTTGCGAATAAGCCTGATATTGTGCTGATGGACCGGGCACAGTCAAGGATATTTTTGGTCGACATTACCATTCCTTATGACGAGAACCTCGTGAAAGCCGAAACAGATAAGTTGACAAAATATCTGGACCTGGCTCACGAGGTGACCGACATGTGGGGTGGTCTGCCGGCCGAAATTATTCTTGTGGTCGTCTCTGCGAACGGGTTAATCCCAGTCAGTCTTTCAGGTCATCTGAGGCGACTGGGACTCCGTGGCAGATCGCTCCAAGCTCAAGTGCAGAAGGCGGTGCTCCTCGATACCGCCCGCATCGTCCGCCGGTTTCTTTCCCTTTCCCCCTAACCCTCGGCCGTTTGGTCTCCCCTGCCGAGGGCTTCCATCTGGTTGGGTTTTTATATATTTATGTAATTTTTATGTATTTATTTTATTTTATTGATATTTATGTAAGTTTATCATTTTCATTTAGAATTATATATTTATACAGCCCAACCAGATGAGAAAACTATACAAATACCCCATAATAATAATAATAATAAGAGATCGTCAGTAATGAGGCTGTACTTGCCGCGGAAGCATGGTGGGCGCGGCTTTTTAAGCGCGCCTACCATGCATAATCGCGAAGTGTGCAGCCTCCGTAATTATTTTCTGACGAGAGCGGATGATCCATACTATAGGGACGTTATTTCTTGTGATAAAGGGCTAACCCCTCTATCCTTAGCCAACGAGCAATGGCAAGACCCGGCAGTACAGAGCATTTCCGACCGGGAGACCGTATGTAAGGAGAAGGAGCTCCACGGGAGGTTCTACAAGGCCCTTCATGAGCCTTTCGTAGGCACAGACGCCTCTCTCCACTGGCTACGTTTCAGTGACCTCTTTGGGGAAACTGAGGGTTTTGTCTGTGCAATACAAGATCAGGTTAATAAGACCAACAATTATCGGAGATACATCCTAAAGGATGGCACCGTCGACATCTGTCGAGCTTGTCGCCATCCCGGTGAGTCACTTAGGCATGTCATCTCCGGTTTTTCGACGCTTTCTAACTCTGAGTATTTGCACAGACACAATCTAGTAGCCAGGATTCTACACCAGGATCTCGCTCTGAAATACGGTCTCGTGGATCGGAAACTGCCATATTATAAGTACTTGCCGGAAGCCGTGTTCGTAAAGGACCGCGCCAGGCTCTACTGGGACCGGGCCGTCATCACAGACAGGACTATTCTTGCGAATAAGCCTGATATTGTGCTGATGGACCGGGCACAGTCAAGGATATTTTTGGTCGACATTACCATTCCTTATGACGAGAACCTCGTGAAAGCCGAAACAGATAAGCTGACAAAATATATGGACCTGGCTCACGAGGTGACCGACATGTGGGGTGGTCTGGCGGCCAAAATTATTCCTGTGGTCGTTTCTGCAAACGGGTTAATCCCAGTTAGCCTCTCGGGTCATCTGAGGCGACTGGGACTCCGTGACGGACCGCTCCAAGCTCAAATGCAGAAAGCGGTGCTCCTCGATACCGCCCGCATCGTCCGCCGGTTTCTTTTTTTCCCCCTAACCCTCAGCCGTTTGGTCTCCCTGCCGAGGGCTTCCATCTGGTTGGGTTTTTTATATATTTATGTATTTTTTATGCATTTATTCTATTTTATTGATATTTGTGTATGTTTATATATTTCGTTTACAATTATATATTTCAACAGCCCAACCAGATGAGAAAACTTTATAGATAACCCCCATTATAATAATAATGTCCTCCAGACCGAATTTCGGTCACGGCGGCCAGCCTCAACGGAGACTAGCCATCTGCGCAGGACAGGATTATAGTGCCCAAGTGTATGCGCAAACACAGTTGCACTCTCTATTCCTTCACTCTCATAGTCCGATGGGACGGTAAACCGACACGACCGGAGAGATATCAGGTGCAGGACCAACGGCTTCACGTGCTTTCCGAGGCACGGGGGTAAGACACCGCCAACTTCCTGACTCCGGGCAGCTACTGAGAATTTCTTGATAGAAAAACTCAATGACTGACTTTTTTGGCCCGACTCGGGATTCGAAACCGGGACCTCATGATTAGCAGTCGCACTAATACAACCACTAAACCAACGAGGCAGTATTATTAAAGATGTATTCGAAACATTTTTTATTTATCATCAGAATTAATATATTTGCGCATAACTTCAGTAACTCAATAATTTCTGCAAACTAGGTCGGGTATCTCTATCTTTCATTGTTCTCTAACAGCATTTTTAAGTCAATGTTAATTTTAATCAAAAGCTTTTTAAGAATACTTGCAACTCGTTATTTATTCCTTTTCGAATTTTGAGAAAATACACCGCCATTTATAGGCTGCCCGAGCTCCGTTCGTTTGTTAGCATAATGGAGTAAATAGACAGTAAGTAGTCCGTTTGTTGGCATAGGTATACCGTCGTGGTTACGCCAGATGTTCAGTACTCAGATCGGCGACGGATACTAGCGGCTAAGGTGCAATACGTCTGGTACTACGATTGTCACATCTAGCAGTGGATTTCTAAGAGCTGACTAAGAAGCATAATATTTTTAAATGTGGTATAGCACGCTGCAGCTATGGTGTGGTTGCAGCACCAATGGATAGGCTCGACCGGAAGGATCACACTCACAGATCACAGAATACGAGCGTAAAATAAAAACATAATGCTGTTTTGTTTCATAAAGTGTATGTAGAGATACGAATACTCTTTTTATTGGTAGCTACGTATTACTACATTTCGATATTTCATCGAGTATAGATGTATGTGTACGCGCCACAGTATTCACTTACCATTAGGTGGAATGTGTGCTCATCTTCACCCGTATTCTATAAAAATAATAATTAAATATTTTATTTGCGTTTACTGAAATGAGTCTGTGTAAAGCAGGACAAAGAAATATTTTTTAGTATCTCTATTTAAAAAAATCATTGTTAAAATGCAACTGTTAATTCCATAAAACTGGCACCGAGGAAAAGCCTTCGAAGTCCTTATTTTGGCTTAATAAAGGCTCTTCTGTCTGTCACTTGTCTGCACTTGTCTTTGCATTAACATGCAAATTAAGTCTGCTGTCTAATGGCACTTAAAATTATCGAAGGAGGACAATTTATTGCACAGAAGTTTTGTAATTTGCTGTAAACCATTCGTATTTCATTGTATCAAGGGGAAGTAACCGTATTCCAAATTTTGAGTTTTTTTGAGTCGTTTTTGTTGTTATTATAAGTTTACTGTAACTACTAACCTAGTGTATATAGTATAGTGAAGCGTACGGTCTACAAAACTAAAAATTCGTGGGGTCGAAACTGTTTACGACAGTACTCATTTGATTGCAGTCGTAAAGAACTACTTGTAGTAGCTCTTTTAAGAATTTTTAGAATTTCAGAGAATCGAATATGAAGAATATGTAATAACTGTTCCTTTACCAGTACCAATTTTAGTTAGATTTTTACCGAGTAACGTTAGAAATCTAACTAAAATTGTAAACGTACGGGCAAATGTATGGAAATAATATTTTCAGATGTTTTTGTCAAATTTTTGAATAGTCATCAAGCTTGTCAAAGTAGCGGAGTGTTTCTTTTTTTATTTTCATAACAGCCATTTTGTATAATAATAT